AGGATCTAGGCCATAATGGGGGCTAAATGGCTGTGACTTGGACAATGTTGTCAAAGAATGATCTGGGCACCTGGGATGAGCCCTTCACACCTACAGACAGAATCTCACACTGATGGAAGAACAGGATACCCGAGAACTTGCCACAGCTTCTCTGTCCCCTATTGTGGAGTAGTAAGGCTTCAGGAATTAGTGATAGCTAACTCTAAACTCAAAACTCTGTGGCTTCCCAGCCTCCGGTGAGTGACCTTAGGCACCTGGGGTCAGGGAATAGTGTGAGACTGAAAGCAGGCAAGAACAGGCTAGGGAACAGGACCTGCTTAGAGCCTGCTGCTGTAACCGGAAGCAAGGAACTTTGCAGAGCCCTACAGTCAGGTACACGATGAAGTTACTCTGCAAATTGGCTGGATGGCCAATTAGTTGTTATATGTTAGAAGAATGATTTGCCTTCTCTGATCCTTAGACTTTCTGTGGCTACAGATGGGATACATGCTTCCTGCTAAGACAGGCTGTGAGATTGCATAGATCTTGAGGAATGATTGTTTGTGGTCTAGTGATGAACAGCTATGGCAAAGGCCTTTTCTTCAGCATCCTGCATAGTCTCTGGAACAAGTATGGCCCCTACACTCACAGTACTGACTCCTCCAGGAAAACTGTTAGAAATTCAGTCTCAGGTCTGAGTCTCCTCAGAAGCTGCAGAGTGGGTCCTGGCTTTAGCTCCCTGGGGACATGGGTGTAGTCTCTCTACTCTTGGGCTTCAGTTGCAAACATACAAGAACCATTTGGGGTTTTGGTTGTCTGTTTTGTTTTTGCTTTTTTTTTTTTCCTCATGAGAGGATGGGAAAGAGACAGAATAAGATCTAAAAACCTGGGTTTGGTTCCGACATTATTCCTCATGTGTTTGGAATGAGCTCAGCAGTTCATGGGCATAGATACCTGGACAGCTGTGTGTTTCTCGTGTGCCTGTCCCTGTACCAGTAGCCAGCCCTCTGCCGGGAAAAGGCTCCTGCCTCACAGCTTATTAAAGATCTAAATTTAGCTCAGGAGGAAGGGCCTTGGGCTTAAGACCATTTGATGAATGGCTCATAGGCTCTGGCTGCAGAGACAGGAGTAAATAGGATTTAAATGAAGCACCTCGACACCCTCCCCATCCGATCTGTACATCGTTAAACACAATATGCTGTTGGGAGCTGCACTTTCCATGAAAGCAGCCTTGCAAAGAAGCATCTGAATAATTAATGGCATGGTGATATTAAACCTTGCAGGAAGTACAGAGAGTGCCTAGGCAGGCACCTGTGTTTCTCAGAGCCTTAGAAAACTGAGACTTAAGGCAAGATCTAAGGAGAGAAATGCCTTCCTCTGACTTGAGAGTAAACAATGCAGAAATGTAAAGATGTTGCTTGTACTAGTTGGCACGTGTGCAGGTCTTTAACACTGGTGTATCCTCTTATGTTCTTGCTTAGTGTCAGCCCCAAGAGTTCTGCCTGGGGCTGGTCGCAATGAGAAAGAATCTGCTCTTTGCCCCCCAACCCATCAACCCCCAACACTCTGGAATTCCTCTTCTGCATCATTGCCTAAAATCACCTTTTTATTCAGTGTTCCACTGAGCCAACCCATTGCTGCATCGACCTCACCTTGACCTTAACCAGAATTGGCTGGGCCATTTGTCCCTGCAACCCCAGGGACTCCCTCAGCCAGAGGAAGGTGCATCAGGAGGCAGACCTTGTTTACTGTGAACCTTGTGGTCCTTTTCCTTTCTCAGAATGTCATTGAGTCTCGTGGTGACATTGCTTCATGGGACCAGAAAGGGGCCTATCGGCTATAAAAAAAACCATGAGTTTCTCCACCCTGGAGAGAACTGTCCACCAGGAGGTGGTCTGTGAGCACTGGAGAGCTAGAGAGACAGTGGATAGAAGGTGCAGCAGCCTCATGCTGGAATGCTTGCTTGGGTGGATGGAGATACGCTAAGGCAGTTTTAGTTACAGAGAACAGTGGCTAGAATATTTAAAGAAAAGAAATGAAAGAACAATGCAACATATTTTAGCCAACTCTAAATCTTCACATTCAAGCATGGGGTGTGCTCTGGGCCCTTGAGGTAGTATAGTTTTGAGCAAAAGCATGTGTGTGTGTGTGTGTGTGTGTGTGTATCTATGTGTGTGTGTGTGTGTGTGTCTTTTTGTGATGTCTCTGTGTCTATGTGTATCCCTTTGTATGTGCCTATATGTGTGCATGTGTATGGTATGTGTGTCTATGTAGTATATGTGTGCTGTGTGTGCCTGTGATATATTTCTATGTATGTGTGTCTGTGTGGTGTGTGCATGTAGGGGAATGTGTGTATGTGTATGGAATGCGTTTATATGTATTCTGTGATGTCTCTATGTATATGTGTATGCCTCTGTATGCATCTGTGTGGTGTGTATATGTGGGGGCATGTATGATGTGTATGGTTGTGTATATTTGTATATGTGTGTATGTATTATACATACATGTGCAGATCCACACACCTGCACATGTTCAACCTCAGAGGTCTCCCTCTAAAAAACCCTCATTTTGTTTTTCGGGGACATCTTTCACTGAACCAGAGCTAGTTATTTTGGCTAGTCTGGCTGGCCAGTGACTCCTAGAAGTCCCTAACACTGGGGTCACAGAGGCTACCACACCTGCCTCTTACATAGGTGCTGGGATTTAACACAGATCCTCATGCTTGCCTGGCAAACACTTTGCACTTTACCCACTGAGCCATCTACCCAGCCCCCAATGCTGTGTTTTAAGTAGATTCTGTAGTCCCTGAAAACTCAGACTCTTCATGAACTTCTTTTTTTTTTTTTCTTTCCACCCTTTAAAAAGAGCAGTACCTCCTGCCTCAGTGTTGAAAGGGTTACCTGAGACTGTGATCTTTGTAAACATAGCAGAAGCTGTCCAGTTTGTAAACTTCACATGTGGGTAAGACACATGGTACTGGGTGGTTGAGAATCTGGGCAGGAAGACCATATCCTTGAAAATCATGTTCAACAGCTGGCCACCAGACATTTTTCTGCTAGGAATGGCAAATAGTAGGGTGTGGCTTTTGAAAGAGCAGGATGGCCACTGGACTGCTGCAGAGGGCCTTTGATGGGGGTGATTGACAGCCCCTGCATTACCCAGCAACTCAGTTAACTCCCCTTCCATCAGGAGTGGATTGGTTTCTCCGTGGGATACTGATTTGTGCTTACTTGGTCCCATCAGCTTGTTCTCTGCCAAACCCTCTGCAGAGAGAAGGGTTACCCGAGAGACCCCAGTGGTGGGAGGGAGGGAGGGCTCTGGCCAGAGCCCAAAACTGGGTCCTGACACACTCAGAAGACCCTTCCCTGGGAGGATGCAGTACTGAACGCTCAATCTCATCTAAAATCCAAAGTGTGTTTTCTCACCTGTCTTGTTTGAGCTCCTTGGTGTGCCTATAAACCAGGACATCAAGGGCCAGTGCTGCCAGTCTGTGACTTGCAATGTCTGATTGGTTTTGAAGTTTCTGTTCTGGCATCATTGAGAAGCATAGTCAAAAGCATCTGTTCATATGTATGCTGGGTGGATGTTGGCCAGCTGTGTAGTAAACATTTGAAACCATTCTTACTACCAAATTATAAAATATTTGCCTAGTGTGAAGGTGCAAACGTGTGATCCCAGCACTGGGGAGGCTGAGCAGGAAGGTCACATGTGAGAGGCTAGCATGGGCTACACAGTAAGACCTTATCACAAAAGAGAACTAGAGGGAGAGAGGAGTAGGGGTGGATGAGGGAAGTAAAGAAACTTTCATCTCCCCAGGAGACTTTTACACTCATGCTTTCTGTCCCAGCTCTTGATAAACATGGCATATTATCATTGTGATTGATTTGTAATTTATATAAATGGCATAATCTACTATATATTGTTTTCTCAAGGGCTCCAACCTCGTTTTTTATTGTGATAAATTTTACATAACTTAAACATGGCTTTGGCTATTGTAAAATATGGCTAGGAACATTAAGAACATTTGCACTGTTATGTAGCTGTCACCACCATCCAATCTCTAGAAACTTTGTCTCCATCAAGTACTTCTCATTCCTCTCTTCTTCCAGCCCATGCTGATGTTTGTACCCTCTGTCTATGAGTTCGGTCACCCTGGAGCCCCATATAAGTGGAATCTGATATCTGTGCCTTTGTCTCTGGCTTATTATATCACACCATGTCTTTAAGTTCTTTGGAGCTGTTACATTTGTCAGAATTTACTTTCTCACTGGCATCTGTCTATACACATTGTTTATATACTCATGGGTTAGCTTGAGTTTCTTGTATCTTTGTGAATATATTGTGACTATGTGTGCAAGTTACCTCTTGTAGGTTCTGCTTTGGATTCTTTGGTCATATATATTATAATAATTCTGTGTTTGGTTTGATGTCTGGAGGCAACCATTGTGGTTGCTACAGTGACAGCACCATTTCTCCTTACATGCTGTGACTGTGGAGGCTAGAATAGGGCATCAAATTCCCTGGAACTGGAATAACAGGCAGTTATAAGCCACCAAATGGTTGCTAGGAACTGAACTCTCATCCTCTGCTGAACTATCTCTCCAGCCTAAGTTTTGAATTTTGAAATATAATATTTAATCTAGGGTAGCTCTGTGTGCTAAAAGAAAAATGCATTGTATTCAGTGTAATAGCCAGTCTGTATTTGGAGATTGACCAAGGTTCCTACAAACAAGTCTTCTGATTATCAGCTTTAGTCTCTTTAAAAGCACACCCTATTTCTAAGTGTGTTTGCTTTCACAGTAATGTACTTCTCCGATTCATGGTGACCCCAGTGAGAACACAGGATCCCACCTGCTGGGTCCAGACAAAGCTGGCTTTCTGGCAGACCTGTGTTTCGGTTGCAGTTTGTGTGTGTGTGTGTGTGTGTGTGTGTGTGTGTGTGTGTGTGTGTGTGTGTGTGTGTGTGGTGGGGGCAGCTGCCCAGGCCTTCTAACCATTTTTCCCTTTGCCTTTTCACACAGGCTGGCCATGGGTGACCCTGTCTGTCCTGGGATTCCTGTACTGCTACTCAATTGTGGGTATCGCCTGGGCTCAGACATACACAATTCTCTAATGTGCTGGTCCAGGTCGACCTAGCTGTCAGGCTTCAAGGGACATTTCACCCTGAACCTCTCATTCTGAGACCTTCCCGGAAGGACCAACCACTCCAGGACAATTCCTGAAGGGACAATTTCCACTCCAGGACCATCCCTGAGGCACCACCTTCCAATCTGAAACCATCCCTGAGGGATTACCTTCCACTTGTCTTCTCCTGAAGATGCTTCATTCTGACTCTGACAGCTTAATCTAGCACAGAAAATATACAACCTGAAAATCTTCTAATCTTGGAGCCTCAAAGAGTATCTACTACCCCCACAGACTTCCTGGTGCATAAACTAGAGTCTGGAGCAGTTTCAGGTCTTTCCCAACTATACATGGTGACATTTGCTCTAGAACCTACTGTAGACCCATTGAGTTCTTTACCAAAGATTCAATGTGGTAGACACTGTGTGGGCATGCAAGTCCTGGTCAGGGATGAGTCTGTCTCTCCGAGACATTCTGTCATGTTTTAGTGACCCCTTTCTACTGGGAACTCTGGGCTGCCCTGCACATGGACGGTTCTTTGCAGGGAGGCAGCAAAGCCACAGTCATGTTTCAAGTGACCTGGCTAGGGTGGGTGATGTACAGGTGGGGCATTGCAAGGAGTTCTGCAGTTTGAACTTTAGTATGGCATCCATGTGGAGCTGCTGTTCTCTGAGACCTGTAGCCACGGAGTAACACGGTCATTCCTTTCACGGCTGTTTTGCATGGCATGGGACTTTAAAAGCCCGAGAATGAGTGAGTCCACAAACAGGTGCTTTTGAGCAAATCCTCAGGGAAAAGTGGTATCCCAAGGTCCCACATGCTAAGTACGCTTTGCTTGCTGGATTTTATTGCCTTATTCTGATTCAAATAAAGCAGAGCCCTTTTGTTACATAGATAATTCACACTGTTTTTTTTTTTCTAGACTTATTTTGGATATTTTTAAATAAAAATTTTGAGATCTAAACACGCATAACTTGACACTTCATCCCTCCAGATATGTTGGGCAGGCTTCTTCTGACAAATGGTCAGTGATGGTGATTCTGCCTGGTTCCACAGGGAAGGTGGTGAGGGAAGAGGGTTCAGCTCTGTGTGTGGGACAAATGCTTAATACCCCAACTATGTGAATTGTTACTGTGTGACAGTTTGGTGAAAGGAACAATGGGGCTTAGCGCCACTGCATTTTCTATGGGATATTATCCTGAGTCCCCCCTGGGAATATCAACTCAGTGGAACATTCGTCCTTACATGCCAGTCACCAGGTAGATCCCCCTTTCTTCCTAGCGGCCACACTAGGAGGGGATGGGAGGGGGCAAATGTTGATGACCTGGGGTGAGAATGCTGTGTTCGTTTGGACAAAGCACAACCAGAAAGGGGCAGGTAAGCTGTGTGTTATTAATACCAGCTAAGAGGTGAGACCCTAGGCAGGCAGCTGTACGGTACTATAAGGTATTAAGGATTGGGGGCAATGAGCATTGAAATGAATGTTGTGTAATTTCATGGACCAACAGAGTAAGGACCTGTGGTTGGCCAGAGGGAGTCTGGGTGAGGCCTTCAAGTAGGGAAATAACGTGCTAAGAAAAACCATAGTGTAAAAATGGTTATGGGGAAGTGTCTAATGTATAGGAGCATCATGCAGGTAGTGTTGAACTTTTCCAGGGAAGTCATTTACAGAAAGGCAGACCTATTCATGAGACCACTCTGGAAGAGTCAGTGAGTGCACTTGTTATAGCCCTGAAGTTTCTTAAAACCATCTGATTTTGGTCGTGGTCTCAGGACCTAGTGGACACTAGCTGTTAGTTTTCCATGCTGCCCTGCCTGTGCTTGCTCCTCACTGTGACATGACAGCAGCACCCTCCCCTATAGTCTCCCCTCACTGTAAATAGACCCATGAGGCTGCCTCCTGGGCAGTAGTCAGCCATCTGATCCTGGAAACTTCAGCAACAGTTCTGGAAAAACCCTGGATAAGGTCCTGAGTCTCTGACAGCCCAGGACCCTCTACCCTGACAGCTTCATGAGCAAGGCCAGGAGCTCTTATCAATTGCCAAGACCACACCCAAGGAGGGAGGCAAGATGCCCAAAGAGAAACTGAGTCCTATGGTCATCGTGATTAATTCTTGGAGCCATGCAGAATGCTAAATGGCATTATGCTTTCAGGTTGTGTGAGACGATTTTTGTCCTATTGAAGATAATGATCTAGAGAGAAAATTACTTACACCTGTAGGTTCTACCTGCTAGCCATTGTGTGTGGTGATGGGGAAAGGGGGAGTACCCTTCCAGAAATTGAGACTGTTTATATCTCTAAAATACAACTACTGGCTACATAATAGAAATTAACTTTGATGTCATGATTTTACCTTTAGCAAATACATCAGGATGTGTGTATACAATAGGGTTTGATCCCACTTGCTACCCCAAAAGTATGAGTTAGTTTTGCCTCTGTTTCTAGTCTAGTTGACTAGTACAAAAATCCTATTTATGTTTTTTTCATTAAAAATGCAATTAATGTTTGGTCTTTTATTAGTAATGCATTTGAAATGAGCATTAGATATTTGAGACTTTAAACAATATAATCATTAGTTTTGCCATGCCTTTCTGTGATGTAATGGAATAGAGGGCTGAAGGAGTATCTTTTAAAAAAAATACCCTGTGTGAGTGCTATGGTTTGAATGTGGCTTGACCCCTCTGATGCCATTGTGATGGGAGTACAGCCTATGTTAGGGGTTGGCTGTGTAGGACTCAGATCTTTAAGGCCCAGACATTAGAGGCAGCCTCACAGGCTCCAAGGCAGAGCCAGAACTTCAGTGAGAACTAGTCTTGCTCTGCTTTCCCGAGGATGCTCAGTGAATAGCGCTCAGACATAAAGCCTGCTGTCTCTAGAATTTCATACCCCCCCCCAGTCCATTGTAGGTTTGTATCAGCAGTCCACTTGACAGGATCCAGAATTACTTCAGAGACAAATCTCTTTTATCTGTGAGGGATTGCTATATCAGGAGACACACTCTGGATGCAGGTGGTGCCATTCCCTGGGCTGGAATCCTGGGCTGCAGAAAGAGTGCTGAGGCCCAGCATCCCTCTCCCTCTGCTTCCTGATTGAGGACACACTGTGACCAGCTGCCTCAAGCTCCTGCTGTCATGACTTGCCCAGCATGACAGACTGTACCCTCAAGCCATGAGCTTAAATAAATCCTTCCTACAAGTTGATTTTTTAATTAAAAGAAAAATAAAGAAATAAAAGGTAGATGGCTGCTTCTAGGTATGGTGGAGGAGAAAGTTTTTTATAGATATATGGGCAAGCATAGCTGGAGACAGATATCTGGGAGATTTAAGAGTGAGGAGGGGAGGGGTAGGAGAGAGGGGATGGGGGTACCCAGGAGCAGCAGCCAGGAGGCCCAAAGAGAGGAGGAATAGCCAAAATTGTTGGACTATATAGGGGAGAGCAGTCCGGCCCCTTGGGCTGGAGAAGTTTAGGATAGAGAGTGGGATGTGCCAGCCTGGAGGGCCCTGTAACATGCAGGGACTGAGAGATGCAGGCAGAACCTGGCATCCAGTGTGGGCTTTGATATGTCATATTGGCACCTCAGACATTTGCTCCAGGTTTGAAACTTAACAGCTTTGTCTGCTCTTTTCCCACAGCAACAAGAAAATGGACTAATGCACAGGGGCCATCCACATCACAGCTTCCCAGGTCAGGTTTTTAAAAAGATGTATTGTTATGTTTATGTGTGCCATGTGTGTGCAGGTGCCTCAGAGGCCAGAATAGGGTACTGGACCAACTGAAGTTGGAGTTGCAGTTGCAGTTGTTTGTAAGCCAGCCACTCACATAGCTCATGGGAAGCGAGCTCAGGACCGCCGGAAGAAGAGAAAGCACATTCCTGGATGGCATGTAAAGAAAGGCAAACACAAGTGTCACGTATAAAATAGTTTATTACCATAATAAATAAAATTAAACTTTTTTTTTTACAAATATCATTTGTGCTTGTTTAAAAATGTCAAGAAGGGGGTACCATCCATAGAGTGCCCAAATGTTCTTCACATCCCACGCCACAGGCACACAGCGGAGCTCTTGGCAGCATCCTCCCTCAGCTGACCACAAAAATAGCCTCAGCTCATTTGCACTTCCGTTTATTCATGCTCATTCGGACAGAGGAAAAAGAAATGAAAAACCTGACAAAGGATTTGGCAGGATTTGATGGTGAGTGTTCATATGAGAAGACCCCAGAATGATGAACTGCTCATGGGTATAAATGTACTTGCAATGTCTCCAACTGATGCACAAACAAGGCGTCTGAATATTAAGAGGCTACATTCATGAGGGGCATTGCATTTCTACCATAAATGCAATCTGTCTTCTGATAGGAGAGCTGCAAACTTCCTAAGGACCAATGGGTCAGCTGGATGACTCAGAAGTCACAGATAAAGAGTCAGTGGCTCTAAGGAAGGTTCAGTGGCGGGTGGAAACCCCCACCACCACCCCCCATCAGGTCTGGCAGGAATCCAAGGTCATCTCTAAAGATGAAGTTTCATTAGAAACTGACAAGCTGCAGGTGAATTCACATTGGTTCCTTTGAGCTGTGGGCCAGTGCCTTGGGGACACTGGAGACTCCTCCAGGTGGAGAGCATGGGAGCTGGTGAAGATAGTTTTTACTGAAGCGAGTAAGAAGGCAGTATACGGAGCAGTAGCAGTGACAGGGATGTTTAGCTAGGAGAGACCATTAGAGGGTTTGAGGGAACATAGGCAGGCCTCCTTTCTAAGCAACAATAGGAGAGGAGTAGGAAGGGGCACTGGCACCCCCATTGCAGCTAGAGTTCCATTCAAGGGTCTTAAGGCTAAACATCTTTATTGCAAAACAGTACAACCAATTTAGTTGCATGTACATCTACAACTTGTACCTTCTCCAGGGCTCCTGAGCCCGGGGTATACCTGTAAGATGTCAGTGTGACAAGGATGAGGATCTGCCTCTGATTGATATTTCTAAAGAGCCCATCCAGTCCCTATTCCAACCTGGGCATACCTGGCTTAATATTCTCTCCCTCCATTTAAGGATTTGGAAGCTGAAGCCCGTGTATTGGGTATTTCTAGTTCTTGTCCAGCCATCCCCACTGTGGAAGTAACACAGGCTCTAAGAGGGGGAAGCTAATACAGGCTCTTGGAACCAGATAAAAAGAAATCAAAGTAACAAATGTGTTTCCAAATGTAACCAAGTAACAAATGTGTTGCTGGAGAGCCACAAGTATTCAGTGGTAGAACTCTTCCCTGGCTTTGACCTCAAGCATCAAAAACAAAAACAAACAAACAAACAAACAAAAGAAATATATTAGGCACAGTCACCAAACACTTGGGCTGGTGGAGTTAGCTGTGCCTAGACCAGAGCATCACAAAGCCTGTCATGTGCCCAGGCATGGACGACCAGGCAACATGCCTACCAAAACGAGAACACTGACTTTACCATTTTGGTTCTGATGCTTAGCCCACACTACTCAGGGAAAAACCAGGTTCATTAGTCCAAGTGGGACTGCCTCCCTTCAAACTGGCCTGTCAGGATAGCCACTGGGAAATGGAGTTTCACTTTGGATGACATTCACAGTAGCTCATCTAGAGACCAAGTGGCCAGCACTAACCAGACAGGGGTGTACCACATCAAATGCTTGTCCCTGGACAGTGACATACCACATCATGTGCTGTCCCCTCCAAAAGGACAAAGTGTCTCTCAGCATAGTTTTTTTTTTTCTGAAATCTCACTACTCACTCTGATACCCAATAACTTTTTTGTCTCCCCAATATCTCTTTGCCCACCATATAATGGCTAAGACAGGAAGGTGCTGGCCACTGGTATCTAAATCCTGTGGTCCTTGCTCAAGACACTAATTGTGTTCTTGTAAAGGTATAAGTTGACACAATACAGCCTCTGGGCCAGTGGATGCCATGAAAGTAAAGAGAGATGGGTTGGCTCATTTGAAATTTATTTAAGAGATGGCAATCATAGCAAAAATGCTGTAGAAAAGGAGAAAAATAAAAGCCAGCCTCATGTACTTCACTCTCAACTTCAGGAACTTTTAGGCCCTGGACTCCTAGAACCCAAAGATAGCAGAGGCATCCCTTGCAGAGTGTGGACCTCAGTCTAACAGGACTTCAGCCCAATTTGCATTGACCCCAGAGTGCAGCCCAAAGCTTTATCTGTCCCCTGACATGAAGGTGGGCTCTCCAGCAGCTCCAACATCTGGGTCACTCAGATAGAGCTGGGGAGAAACACATTTTAAGATTTACTCACCCCCTCAGAAAGAGCTGTCAAGGAGCAGCAGGGCCTCTGCCCCCTGGCTGGCAAGGTGCTAGAGGGCCTACTAAGTCCCAGAGAATTCCAGACAGATCTCTAGGAGCAGGTGTGTCCAAGGCTGAGTGTGGCATGACCATGGGGTCCATCCTACCCTAAGGTTAGCACTCCTAAACTTCAAAACCTGGCTAATGAATATGTGTAAGGAGTGACCCTGTTGGCATTCAGGGGGCAGCTGGCATATGTGACTCCAGTATTTCAGTCTGTTCCAAGGCATAGCTGGCAGCAGCTCAGGAGCTGGGACTTGCTTTACTCAGAGTCACCAGTGGGTATTTTTGAATGCTGCCATCTGACACTGAACCTACTAGTGTCTTAGTCTAGGGACACCAAGAGCCAGCCCTTAAGCATTATGTTAAAAGCTACATGTGTACACACACTTGATCTCCCAGGGCCATCCATTCTGTACAGACAGCCATGCATCAAGTTCCAGCATGTGCCATGGCCTCCGAGCAGAACACTAAATGTCTTTGGTAGGGCAGGTCTTGGATATCAGGTTCCCTAGATAGGCATTTTGAATCGCGACAGCAAAGCAATGCTAAGCACAGGCACCCATGTCACTCAGTCTCCTAACTGTTCTTTCAAATGTCACTGCAGAGCTGACCTTCCAGACTCACCTGGTAGGACGAGGCGTGCACCTAAGCTGTTGCCTTTGTCCTGTGTCCTGTTCGATGCCATCAAGAAAGGACCAATCAGCCTGACCTTGAGTAACTGAAGCAGCAAGTGTCCCTGAGTGCCACGCTGTGGGAACCTGGATGCTACAGACATGGCCCTGTGACCATGGCTCTGACCCCCAACCTTCCCACAGTTCCATTGTCAACACCCCCCAACTTATCACTGAGACATTTTGAAAAGCAGTGCAGCACTGTCATTCTCCAGCTCCCTATGAGAGAACAATCATGGTCCTACTTTTAGAGTAGGGAATAGGTTGGCTTTCAAATAAGGCTAAGTGTGGCTCCCATGTGATCTCTAATGACCCCATGCACTGGACAAAAAACCCCACAAGAATCAAAATAAAAACCTAGTACTTGCTACAATCATTTTTGAGGTTGTGTGTGTGTCTGCTTTGTTTGTTAGGAAAGCAATGCTGGGCTCCTGCCTCTTCTTTTTGATGCCCCACACCCTGAGGAAAGCCATGGGCAAACTTGGGAAGAGAATGACAGAGAAGCAGCAGAGCATCCCACATCGTGAGGCCTGAGGCATGGTGCACCACAAGAAGATCACCTGGGTCCGGGAGCTTTCACGTCAACCATCACACAGAGCAGGCTGTGGACCACACAACAGAGCCTGCTCAGAGCTGAGGACCCTCTCCGCTTACCCTGGCCTCGCCTCTTCTGGGCAAGGAAACTGGAGGAGCCCAGCCTACGTGTCCATGGTACGGCACCTGCCACCAGAGGGGGAAGGTTCTCCCATCCACCAAGCTTCCCTCACTGAGAGATTGTTAGAGATGACAAGAGTAGGGAAACAGGTGGTGATGTCAGACGTAGCCACATAGGGGTGGTGAATGCCCAGCAGTCCCAGTGCCTGTCATGGTCTTCAGGGGGTGCTTGGTAAAGAAGACCAATTGGGTCTATTCTCCAGGGATCCTGGGGCTCTCCCACCAGTCTCTACGTGGCTGCTGCCCCTTTTCTGGTAGTTTTAATCTTTTATAAATATCACATCAGCTAAACATTTTAAAGGAAATGCTCTTTAGACAGACGGCATGCCCCTGCTTCCCCAACTCTCAGTAGTTGTTGAGATGCAGCTGTCATCTTGCAGGGTGAGCCCCTGACCATGATCCTGCTCATGTTTTCCAGGGACCACACAGCCACACCTATGCCCCTTGGTCCCACTCTGACTTCCCGTCAGGAAAAGCTTACTTTGAAAATTGTTGGTCATGTGGGCGGTGTGGTGAGGGGTGTCAAGGGCAAGGGGGCAGGCGTTTGTCTTTGACTTTTGTTTGTTTTGAAATGGTCCTCTCAGCTTGCTCCAAAAATGTCTCTGTCTGACTCTGGGGACTGAGGCCTGGAAATCTCACACATCTCCTCAGGAGACTGGGCCGGCCCTCTCGACATGAGTATCCTGAGTATCTCAGAAAGTTGCTTCTCAATGGTGGTCATTTTGGCATTCAGGGCCTTTATGTCCTCCTTCAGCTCATGCTTTACCTCCAGAACTGTGGCCTGCAATGTCTGCTCAGGGATGGGGTAGAAAGAATGCTTGACCTCGGCCAAGATGGGGCTGCGGTCCTGGGGACTCCTGGCCTCACCCACATTGTCAAGGCGCAGATCGCTCTTGGTGATGCCGCTGTCACAGGAGTCTGTCTTCTTCAGTGTGGCCTCTCCTGATGCCTTTGTCCTCTCTGGCAGGGTCTCCATGGACTCTGCCTTGGATACCTTGTTCCAGTCCTCACCCTTCCCGCAAGCATCTTTGAAGCGGGTCCAGCCTTTGCGCTTGGCACAATCGCCACTGCCTGCTTTGGGACCTAGGCACTCAGACCCTGGCGCATGCAGCTTGGCATGGTCTGACACTGTGGAGGCAGAGGCCGCCTGGAAGGACACAGGTGTGGCAGGGCTCTCCCTCACTGTGACTACGCTGGCCTTTACCAGGCTATGGTTGGCTGAGGTATGGTCTGTAAGGGCATTGCCCTTCTCTACATCCAGGTCATCCAGGTCCCGGCCCCCTCGCTCTGCTGCCAGCCTGGCCTCTTTCTGCTGGCGGAACCTTTGGAACAGTCTCCTGACAGGGTGGTCAGGAGGCAGGATGAGAGGGGCTTCATTCTTCCGTTTCATCCGCTCCTCCTCTTCTCGTTTCACATCACTGATCTTCCGGAACACAATCTGCAGTGGAAGAGGATACCCTGTGTTAGCTGGGAGGAGCTCCAGATGCCAAGTCACCCTGTCAATGCGGTCAGTACAGCCACCAAGGGCTGCAGCCCACAGCACACTCTCAGCACTACAAGCCCTCAAGGCCATTCCTCCTGACTGGCTGACATCACCTTCCTTCTCCTGTCCTGGTTCTTTTAGCTCTCCAACACCAGAGCATGGGCTTTTTTACTCCTACTCTGCTCAGGAGGAACAACGTCCACCTACATGTGGGAGCCTGACTGCCAGACTGCATCCTCTCAGGAAGCCTAGTAAATTAGAAAACCACTGAGCCTCTAAGGTGAAAAGTCCTGGGGATTATGACCATGAAGTTTAAACATCTTGAGTCTAAACCACATTACAGTGTAAGAAAGTTAGCTTATATCACCAGCAGGGCTACTGCTGGAACAGTCAGTGCTATCCACAGATCTTGATGTGGCTGGCTATGACAATTACAAGCTAGTTTCTTTGGTTTAACCTAAGAACAAAGACTTCCAGCCTTAAACCCATGCTTGTCATAACAATAATGCCCAGCACTTGCAGTTCACAGGCATTTTTGTGTTATCTTGTGTATTCCCTATTACAGAGTCACTGGGACACACAGCATCCCAATTTAGAAACGATCAAAGCAAGACCCAGAGTGTCTGAATGTTGCTGAATACAGTAAGCTATCTACATGGGTCATGTGTCCAAGTCATTGAACTCCAGATCTGTTATCATCACTCCATTCAGATGACCCCTCAAGACCAGATCTACTACACATAGTGGTAGGTGTCCGCTCGGCCAGCAGTCCATCCCTGAGGATGCTTGTCCTTTCTGGCTATGTCACAGGGGCAATTAGACTCCAGGATATGCTCTGAAAGTGCCTGGGGCAGGCTATCCTCTTTGTATGAGTGCCTGTGCCCCTGCAGAAAACCCCAGACGTGCCATGAATCTGTCCTAGGACCTATCACAGACCCCCGGGTCATGGTGAGGTACATGTGGTGGCATGCCTCTTTCACGGCCTTCGGGGTCAAGCAAAGTGTGTAAGACCCTTGCCATATGTATCAGACATCTTCACTGAAGTAGGAGAAATATGCTTGTCAGACTGAGGTGACTGAGTGATTGCATTCAATTCTGTTGTCCATGTTCCCTCCAAGAACCCCAGATACACAAGAAATATAGCTTGTCCCACCTGCTCCAAGGGCCCTGGCCCAGTGTTCTCTAATAACAGCACTCAGCAGCTTTTCACATATGACCAACAGGAAGATTGTGTCTCACTCAACGTGGAGAACCCCAACAAACACAGATTGCTTGACACTAGTGATTAACCAGCTGTCAGTGTCACCGGCTACTGCCTCTGCCCTGACTTTTGGTCAAAGCACCTGTAACCAGATGGCTTCACACCAAGGTCAATAGCAAGTAGGTGGATGTCACATCTTCAGGCTACTTGCATGGATCCCCATTTGTGGCTTTCCGGTCCTCACTGGGTAGCCCTTCTCTCATTTAGTCCCAAACTGGTCCTAGCCTTCACTAGCTGAGGTTCTACTCCCCTTGTCCCTCCCTTGGCCCTGCCTCATGAGCTGCTTACATCTATGAGTAAGGCTAGGGGACTCAGAAGAATCCTATCCACTTTGAGAAACCCAGCTACAAACATCTATGGGCAGAGGGGTAGCGTAGCAAAAGGAAAGCAACCAGCACCTTCCCCCCAATGCTCTGCACAGGTTTTCATCAAGTTTGTAAGTCCCCTCTAGCTGAGGCCCAGGGCAAACTTCCACAGAAAGCTTGCCTCTTTCCACTGGGTGCGACCTCCTTGCCTTGTAGCTCTAACATCTTTTGTGTTCACCCAACTCTGCTGCCCTTTTTTGTGCGCCCATGTTTAGTGCTAATGAAGCTACCTTTTCTTAGAAGGGAACACAGAAATGTAGCCGGATGGAGAGGGAGCAGATGAGGACAAGATGGCTATTGGAGTTAACTGCTGCCCTAAATTTCTACAGCATATCTGACTCCTAACATTTGCCTCCCAACTCCATGGCTGTGGTGATATATTATTTATGATTTATTAAAGCTTGCCTGAGGGTACAGGAAGTGAAGTCAGTCACACCAGTTGGCTATAGAAACCAGGTGGTGGTGGTCCACACCTTTTAATCCCACCACTTGTGAGGTAGAGGTAGATGGGTCTCTGTTAGTTCAAGGCCATACTGAGCTACACGAAATTGAATCAGTCCTAAAGAGAGACTGCTTACACCAAGATGATCTTGGCACTTGGGATCGCACATCTTTAATCCCAGCACTAGGGAGGTATAAAAGCAAGAACCAAAGGTTCTCATGTGGAGCCTGAGTCTCCGAGAGCATTGTTGAGGAGAGCATAGCAGTCTGGGATTGCCATCTTAGTTTCAGTGGATCGTCCTTTTGGTCTAAGGTAGAGGTAAGAGATAAAGGCTGCCTGCCTTGCTTCTCTGATCTTTAGTTTGAACCTTGAACCCCATTATCAGTCTCTGGGTCTTTTATTTTTCATGTTATACCTAGCCTTTGCCTGCTGAGCTAGACTGGGTGGGTTTCTACTCCTCCAAAACAAGACATTAGTTGTTTGTGTCTGCATCCATCCCCAGTGAAAACCCTAAGGACTGAGAGCAGGATTCTGCACGCCACATCATCTTTGACTTTCATTTTCCTGTCACCTGACCTACGAGAGCAGTGCCTGTCTGCTTTGTCCATGATTAGCTCTTCCGAGTGCCTAGGATGTTCCCTAGGATGTTCATATCTGCAGACTGAATGAATGGAAGCAGGTAATATTGGTTAATGAGCCAGAGGGAGAATGTCTCTACTGGAAAGATGACACTCTAGAGGTCACGGTTGTAACAGGAAAGGTTTGGCTCATAGCATACGGCTGATCTCTCTTTGTGTAGAGTCGAGGGCAACCCTTGAGGCTTCAGATGAGCTGTGCCAGGACTGGGGAGGGAAGTTCTGCTGACATCAAGAAGGCTTCACAAAACTCACCCTGGGAGGGTGCACATAAGAATTCAGATAGGCTTGTCAAGGCTTAAAAGCACCCATGTAAGTGTGCACAGGAAGGGTGCCTATGTTGTGCTCTTCAGTTGGCTCTGGCTCAGAGTCTGGAACTGACTCAGACAGCATCTGAAGAGATGGTCTGGTCAACCCAGCACTTCCTCCAGGGTCTCTCCTTTGAGATCCCAGTCCCCAGGTCCATTCCAACTGTTTTGGGAACCTCTGGCCTCTGTATGAGGTCTGAACCAAGAGGCAGGGGAACCAAAGCACACAGATCTCTTTGGACAGCAACATCCCTCCCCCGCCCAGGGAAGAGACTAAGGGCTGATACTGAGTTCAGGGAACTTTTCTGATTTCATCTGCTGGTTTGAAGTCATTAGCAGAATCTGTGCCAGCAGCAGCCATGACCATGCATTTTGACAAGCACTTTAGATAGAGTGGATAGGGCTGGCTGCGTGCAACTGGTAACAATGAGGTCCATGTTGCCAGGATCAGCACTCACCCATCTGCCCAGAAACAGTCACAGTTTCTTCCCCAAGGCAGGAGTATGCCCCAGCCTCCAACCCTGTAACCCCAATACTTTCTGTGCAGAGAAGGCTCTGGTTGGAAGCATGGCTACCCAACCCTTGCAATGTTTCATAGGGATTTAAAAATGCTATGGGGGGGGGGACACAGTTTCAATCTATGCTTTATTATAATAAGGCTTCCTGGAACCTGAGAGTACAAATATACCTTAGGCATGTTGGGAGGAAAGCTATATTGAGAATTTATTTTACTTAAGTTATTTCTTTTGTGTGTACATAAGGGTGTTTTCTTTTGTGTGTACATAAGGGTGTTTTGCCTGCATGCATGCCTGTGTACCATGGACATGGTGGAATCCCCTGGAACTGGAGTTGCAGATGGTTGTGAACTACCACATGAGTGCTGGAAATAGAACCTGGATCCTCAGGAAGAGCAGTCCGTGCTCTTATCTGCAGAGCCATCTCTCCAGCCCTGTATGTAGAATTTCTTAATCCAATTCCCCAAATCCTTCTTTCAAATGAGTAGTCTATGGGGTGGGGCACACTCTGTATTTGTATATAGTTTCCTGTCCCAGGTTACATGGCTCCTCAGTACTGCTGCACCTAGGAACTGAGAATGTGGGGGTCTTCCCTGAAAATGCATTGGCCCAATGGTGGGTCTGCATTGATCCAAACTCTAAGACTCAGTTAATGGGGCCTGCCTGATATGGTCCTAGCTCACCTCTCCCCAGCCATGCTAGATAATTTCAGGTCCCAGGCAAAGCTTGGTTCACTCCACCTGAGGCCTCCTCCTGTCACACATTCTACTCTGGCCCTTCAATTTGTCTTGACTGTGATCTCCAAGATTGAACTTTGTAGTCATCTAGTCCAACAACCCTCCCTGACTCCCCCACTCAATGTCAGGAAACTAGACCTGATGATGCCAAGCAGTAGGGAGCGACAGGTTTCCACCACTCACTGCAACTCATGGTGAGACAACCCTTCCTTCTCTAGTTGGTCACTTTCTTCAGACAGTAGTTGTCTGAAGGCAGAAACTGTTATGTTGTCCATCTTCATCACCATGCCCAGTGTCTACAGCATTCAAACAAGCCAGTGCCCAAGTTATGACCATCCCTGTTTGTGAAGTCAATGCTCTGCATAAGATGCTATCCACATGTCCCATAAAGTTTGCTTCTAATGTGTGTGATCCCATGAGGAAAGAAGAGATAACAGGTAGATTTATTCTATGCACAACATGTAGGCTCCTGAAGTGTAGTGTGTAACATAAACTTCCATTGTTACCTCTTGTCATTTCAGACCCAACTTAACTGACTCTATTATCTCTGTCTGACTGGTTTTCAAACTCTTACATGACCTCAGAGAGTGGATGTTTAGAAGGAGGCCTAATATATATTTTGTTTTTTGCAATGAAGACAACTGTTCTTGAATTTTGCTTTGGTATAAACTTGGATCCTCTTAGGGAAGACC